TACAATATATATATATATATATATATATATATATATATATATATATATATATATATATATATATATATATATATATATATATGGGAACGATACTCTTTGGGAGAAGAATACTTTGTCAATAAATATTTCTTAATTTAATTCGGAATTTTCCATTAGTATGGTTTTTCTTGGTGGGTAGTCACCCACCATTTATTCCTAGACTTTAAAGCAGCATACGACAGCGTTGATAGAACGCAACTATACTGTGCCTTGGAGGAGCTAAGCATCCCTCAGAAGCTCGTACGCCTAATCAAGATGACCATGGACAGCTCGAGATGTAGAATACGCGTCGGTTCTGACGACTCAGAAGAGTTTAAAGTGAGCAGTGGGGTTAGGCAAGGGGATGCCCTCGCCTGTCTATTGTTCAACTTGGCAGAGGAGAAAGGTGTAAGAGACTCCGGTATTCAGACCAACGATATAATCTTCAATCGCCTGACACAGCTTCTTGGTTTTGCTGATGATATTGACATAATAGGTTGGTCTGAACGGGCTCTCAGAGAAGCGTTTATAGGCCTTGAAGCAGCTGCAAGACCACTTGGTCTAGAAGTCAACGAGAGGAAAACTAAGTATATGAGAGTTGGTGGTGAGGTGGATCTGAACTCTCCGTTTGAGGTAGGTTCTTTTAAGTTTGAGAGAGTGAAAAGTTTTATATACCTTGGGTCTGAAATTAATAGCAAAAATGACATGGCTCAAGAAATACAAAGAAGGATCACGGCTGCCAATAGATGTGTCTTTGGACTTGGCCGACACTTAAGAAGTAGGTACCTCTCAAAGAAGACCAAGCTGATCATATACAAGACCCTTGTTCGGCCTGTTTTGACATATGGCTCAGAGGCTTGGACGATGACCAAAAACGATGAGATGAAGCTGAGTGTGTTTGAGCGAGGAGTCCTCAGAAGGATTTATGGTCCAGTAAAGGAGGGTGATGTCTGGAGGAAAAGAAAAAATAGGGAGCTCAGTTCTCTCTATGCAGACATCGACGTAGTCACGTATATTAAACTGGCCAGACTAAGGTGGGCAGGGCATGTGGCCAGAATGAGCACCGTTGAAATACCAAAGAAAATAATGATGGAGGAGCTGCACCTCGTAAGACGGGTAGGAAGGCCGAGGACGAGGTGGTTGGACAGCGTGGCCTATGATGCGAGAACCCTGCTTGGTGTGCGGAACTGGAGAGCTGCAGCAGAGGACAGAGCCAACTGGCGGAGGCTCTTGGAGGAGGCCCAGTCTCGGTAACGGGATGTCGTGCCACACATGATGATGATTAAATTAAATTAAACACATTTAAAGTAGTATAAATATTTGATAATTAATTTTTGAAAATGGATATACCATAAATGAATGAATACCATCGGTGGGAAACCATTTTACCATTAGAAGCCGCAGTAAGGTTAGTCAGTACTAATGGAGGCCGTAATAATTATTTATATTTCACCGTTACTATTTTATTTATCCTTAAATACACACAATCATATACATATATTCAACTTAATTATATTAATTTCCATTTTTTTACTTAAATAATTAAATATTAATTAATTCGTGGGAGAGATTAATTAATATCGCACAAAAACATATGGAGGCCGCCATTACGTCAATAAGGCCATTAGGTCAATAAATTTTTATTCCTCTTCGAAAAATATAATAATACTAATTATTTCGGGAAACAGGGTGGTAAGTAAATGATGTGCCCACTTATTATTAAAGTGAAAACTTGTCTAGGAGCGTTTTGAACTTTTTTGTGAAGAATGAAATAGATCGAGCCGTCAGATTACCGATGTGTAACGCTCGGGTAAAGTCGGCTGGAGACGCCTAATTGAAGTGTTTTTGTATATGGATTAATATAGCTCAAAAACTAAAAATCGGACCTGCATATTGTCATCGATGAAAATGTTCAGCTTGTCATCCACTATGTAACGGACTATTATTCAAAATTGTATTTTAACGCGACTCCGTGTTAGAAAGGCAAAAAAGGGGGGTAGTGTCGAAAACCAAATGATAACGAGTTTTATTGAAGATATGGATTAAAATAACTCAGAAACTAAAAATCGAGAATTGTTCAGCATTACATACTCTTTATAATGAGCTATTATTTATAATGTATATTTCATATTATTAATCTCGACCTGTCGATGTTTTCACTTCAATCGTGTGGTCACGCACCATAGTTTTTATTTTTTATTAATTTTATCCTTTGTCCTTTGAGACATATCGGAATACTTCTCAATAAACAATTTCTAAAAAAAAATTAATTATTATCATTATTAGGTTTTTTTTTTTTTTTATAAAGGTCCAACTAAACCTGTACTAAACAGAATGGGAAAGTCGAGATTCATCCTACTGGTCCGCCACAAATTTTAGCGCGCCCAGACAGGATTCGAACCTGCTTCAATAGACATTAGACATTAGACGAGTTATAATAGTTTACGCTTTAAGACGCTAGACTATTATTCTATTATGGAATCACTACTGATAGTTTTTCACCTTTTCTCTGGCAGCGCTTCTTGCTAACCTCGTTAGCTGATTGGATGATCTTCCCCTCCCCACCACTGCCACCTCAATAAATCAGTTAGTGTTATCTCCTTGGTTTAGGAAAATCGATATTCCAATAGCGGATATTATCGCTGGCTGTCTCTCCATTAAAAGCTATCATTGTTTTCAAAGCTGTTCCAATATTCAATTTTCGGCTCTCATAGCCTAATATTTTCTCTAAAAAATAAGTTTTTTTTTCATTGAATTCATAGTAAATAGGCATATGGTACAAACCTTTTTTTATCAAATTATCCGTCTGACACTTCGTGAATAGATTTATCTCATCGTAACCTACAACTATTTCATTTAAAACTTTTGGATTTGGGGCCTTTTCAATCTGGAGGTAGGCAAATTTTGTCTATTTAATTAGCTACTAAAAAATCGTAAAAACCTACTTCCTTTTCAGTTGACTCATAAGATACTTCGATCACAAAATCGAGGAAAAAGGTGGCCTACAAAAATATTGGACCGTTTGGCCTATATTATCTCGTTCTTTTGACATTTTGGGGGTGTAGTTCACGCCAAACGGCTCAATATTTTTGAAGGCCTTTTTTCGATTTTATGCTCAAATTGTCTTACGATTCAAGAGGAAAGTAAATGAGCATTTAGTAACTAATTAAATAGACAAAATTTGCCAAACTCCAGATTAAAAACGCCCCAATTCCGAGAATTTTTGTAAATAAAATAGTTGTAGGTTATGATGAGACGAAGCTATTTATGAAGTGTCAGATGTTAATAAGTGTCGGATGTTAATAAATTAATAAAAAGTGGTCTGTACCAAGGACTATATGTCACACTGCTAGTTTTTTTTAATTTTTTGACAGATGCAACTAAAATTCATTTCATACCCATATAACATTGTTATGAGTGAAAACTGAATGTTCCCAATTTTGTTAGAATATTTTCAAACTAAGGCTATGAACAGACAAGCATTGTAAAAATGTACAATTGATAATAAATTGATTTTTTGGAGAGTCGAATGAAAATGAATCAATAAATGTCAAGGTAATAGTTCTTGACCGTTTCTATTTTTAAGAAGTTTTTAAAAGTTATACTAGATAGCGAATCCGTTCAAGTGAAATAGCTCTATTATATAAAAAAAGTTTTTAGTGACTTTATTATTTTATTTTATTTTAGTATTAGGAGGGTAAGAGGTTCCAGGAGCTCTCCTATTAGATCTGTAATTAGCACTAATTACACAGCTGTTCATTTACTTACATATGTTTTGAGCTTCTGTAAAGTCCTATTCTCCTAATACAAAATAAATATTTAAGACAACAAATTTGTAAGGAAATGGTATTTATTCATCTAGAGGTGGAAGTTTGATTTTACCTAGGTGACAGCACTTATTTTCAATCTATACATTTCTTTTTGACTACAATATATTAATTATTATATTATATATAATATTATTTATATATGAATTATAATTATTATGAAATAGAAAAGGAAGTACAATATAACAATGAAAATATTAGAAATAAAAGGCTTAAATTATTTGAAGCTGGAAAAGTTGAATATATATTATAGTTACAAATATGCAATAACAATAATAATGATTATATAATATAATTGGTAAAAAGGTGCGATGTATAATTCAGATTTAAAAAGAAATTAAAAATTTGTCCGAACTGTGGTTTCGTTCAGTTTATTTTATTTAGAAAAAAAAAATAATATAACCTGAAATACAGAATACATGTAAATTAAAGCTATACAATTTGAGTAACAAGATGTACAATTAAAGTAATAGTTGTATAATTTGAAAAATGGGGGTTGGACAGGGGGTATCTCCCTAGTATTTAATAATAATATAATAAGGAAGGCTTTATCCTTCCTACCGTCGTAAGTTTTTTCTTGGCATCCTTCCTTCCTCTTTCAAGTCATCCAATCCCACCGTCCCTCATACATCTCCGAGCTCCTTCAATTCAAATCCTCTGTCCACTCCCGCTCTTCAGATTTATATATAATGGCCCACCGAACTGCTGCTTTCGATAAATCTTTTGTTATTCGATCCTCATCTCTATGTGACTCCATCCCTTCCCATATCCGTCAATCCAATACTCTCCCTACTTTTAAATCCCGCCTATTCAATCACTTTCTTTCCACCCAGTCCCTCTAAAACTGTAAATAGAAACTTATGTAAATATGTATTTATATCATTAGTTTATTTCTAATTATTTTGATCTCATTGTTCTTTCATTTATTTATTTTTTCCTTAATCGATTTACTATAGAAGTTAATTTTTTTTTTCTTTTTTCTCTATTGTATCTATTAGCCAACTTTCTAAATACGTGTATATATATCTGAGGCTCAAAACCCCACATTTCTGTCCTTGTTAATTATTCTAAAGGGATTCGTGCCAGAATAAATAAAAGATTATTATTATTAATATCGTGTAAGATAGAGTGTTGTTGTCTTAGGTGAAATTACAATAAAATTTAAAAATTGTATAATAAATTATTGTATTTTTTTCCACGTAGAACCGCATTGACATTGACGATCTTATCAACCCATATCTTGTTCCAAATCTCTCGGAAACGTGCCATCCTCGATCTGTTCATACCAGTCCCTCACCCACTGGTTCGGGCAAAGGCACTCGTAACATTTCTTAAATATTTTACAATGACCGCTATCTTCACCTAATAAATGTGAGCACCTGAGAACAAACTAGTTTGAAATATAAATAAATTTCATTAATTTAAAATTTAGATTATATTTAAAAAAAACAAATTAATGCGCTCCAGAGAAATGGAGTTCGAAAATTCAACTTATTTATACCAAGGGTAATAAATAATTCAGGACACTGTCTTTTTTTTTTTTAAATTTAATTTGTTATTTATGCCAACGTTTCAACCCTAACATGTAGGTCTTCTTCAGGGGATGGTTTGAGCATTGAGGGTGTTCAAGTACTGATTTTTTTTTTTTTTTTTTAAAGACTGCATCCTGAGTATTTATTACCCATGATATGTAGAACAGTCCTTCACTATTTATACCAAGCTTAAACAATATTGTATTATACAAGATGTCCGGTGAAGAAAATGGAAATTTTTAAAGAAGTGATATTAGACCTCAAGAGATACAAAGAAGTTTATATTATATATAAAATAAACAAAATCAGGATATTTGTACTATTTTCTCTTGAATAGGAGGCAATATTTAAAAAATATATTCGGATAAGTTATTTAACAATTACTTCATAGCGAACTAGAAACAAATGTCCTTTAAATGCAAGTAGTGTTCGTCTTCGTTAATTTCTCTATATGAACTCTATTTACGGTACACCCTAACATATTAGTACATCCCCTAACCCTAACGTAAAATTCAAATAGAACTAATATATACAAAGACTTGAATCATGATATATCAGAAAACAATTATTTCAATAAGAAATACAATGAAACAATAATAAAATGGATATTTAAGGCCAGAGGAGAATTAATAAAATTAAACTGTATGGTATATTACGAGACAAATTATAAACTATGTTCATTATGCCATATGAATGAAATAGAAAATATCGTGCACTTCCTTGGTGTATGTCTTGTTCTGGCGGAACTTACGATAAGATATTTTGGAAAAGATTGGAAAGACATTTGGAGAAATAATAGCACATTTGAACGGAATAAATTGGTTACATCTATCCTATTGTTGTAAAGCTCTGGCAATACAGATATGCCTTATGCCAAGAATTTAGTTATTAATTGATGAAAAATGTTTAAGCCGAAAAAAATTATTTATCTAATTATATTAAAATATCTATATTAAAAATTTGTAAGTATTATATATATATTGAAATTTTATTGTGTATTTATAATTGTGATATTAAGATTTGATATATTTTGTTTCTGTATTTATTAGTATTAAAATTGTATTTATCAACATTAACATATTATGTTTTAGTTTATATTATTGTATCAATAATATTTGTTTTGCCAAGGCCAGCCTCCGGCTGACGGTTTTAAGAACCAAGCCGTAAATATTTTTATTGAGCTTGGATACTTTTGTTGTTTGTTATTGTATAAATACTTAATAAAAAATGCATTATTTCATTCATATATATACAAAGGAAGGAGATTGTCAGGGGTGGCGGTCATAAATAGGCTAAATAGTGGTAACACTATTTTATTCAAAGCCGACGTTTCGACCCGACTTTGCAGGTCTTATTCAGGGCTAGAACGGACAAGATACAAAAATATAGAGAATCGTGGCAGTTACATAATATTTAGAAAAAAAATTATAAACAATGTGAATAAACTTATTAAAATTATAAAAACATGAACAGAGTAAGCTAAGTAACAAGAGCCTAAACTAAAGTAAATAGATGCTAACAACTGTTGCAGTGTAATATATAATAAAGGCAAATGTGAATATACTTTTACAGATCTACAGGAGAGATTGAATGAAAAGGAAAAAGGATATAATATGAAACAATAGACATAAAGAAATGTGGAGAAAGAAAAGAAAACCAAAAAATTAAATAAATAAGTAAATAAAATGGAAAAATAAAATTAGAGACTTATATATAGGTGTGTTCAGCTAAGAGTTTAACTTAGAACTGGAAAACCAGGGATAAGGGAAACGTCGCCTTTTAATAAAATAGTTTTACCACTATTTAGCCTATTTATGACCGCCCCCCTGGACCATCTCTTTCCTTTATAATGCAACGGTCAACTATTAAATATTCAATATATATATATATATATATATATATATATATATATTCAAACTTCACTATTTTATTGGGAATAAGGTCACTTAATTATTATTTTATAAACTAATTAATGTTCATTTCTTCTGTTTATTAATAATTAAGTGACCTTATTCCCAATAAAATAGTGAAGTTTGAATTTAATACTCAAAGGTCAATGAAGGAAAAGTTGTAAATATATATATATATATATATATATACATATATATATATATATATATATATATATATATATATATATATATATATATATATATATACATATATATATATGTATACCTCTGGAAGTCAATGAACATTCGGTAACACCATTTCGTCTTGTTCGGCTGTTGAAACCTAGGATCCGGCGGGCATGTAGACAAAACGGTTGCCGTTTTTTCAACCTTCTCTTCCTCATAGCATATAATTCCACCCGCTGCAACAAGATTTTTCTTTTCTTTGGGTTTTGATTCCTCGGCAGACATTTCTTCAAGTTTTTCGTTAAAGTATTCTTTAATTTCTTTTTTCATGCGCGAAATATTACTCAGTTCAAGAATACTGAGAGTTAAAAAATTTTTTTTCTCAATTATTGCAAGATTACAAAACACATGTTTATTTTACAATACTTTTGTATCATATGATTTTATTATTACTACAATCTATCATATGTATGTAATCATCTTATATTTAATTCATTTATAATCATTAAAAAAAACAGATGTTTCGTAGTAAGTCATTACCTTGATTATCTATATAAATAAAATAAAAGTTTTGTCTGTACATTAAATAGAATTAATACGTTTCAAGATATCTTTCCGTTTCATACAGTACAGACACCAAATTCACTTTTTAAATTTTTTTATCTGTCTGTAGGCTTTCGAAATTTTTAAATTGTATTTAGGTCTGCTTGACTTACAACATAGGCTTTAAATGATAACTAAAATTGAGTATAACCAAAGTTATGAATTCTTGAGTAATTTGTCTAGAGATCCCGAGGTTGGGCAGTTACTTCGATTCTCATCCCAACCCATTCTAGCGCAAGCCACATTTTAAAAGTTTGACTATTCAACTGATTGAAAAAATTATTACAACTCAACGGGAAAATTTCGAAATACCGAACATCTGTAACGCGTTGTCGTTTAAAACACGGGTAAAACAAACTCATTTTTTAACTTTGTCCGATCTTCAAAGGTGTCATTCCATTCAACTTTTCAAGCTTAACAAATGTTGCCGTGTACATTTTTAGGATTAACCACATGGATTAGCAGGAATGGAGGAAAAAAAATAAATTCCACCCCGCCCGCCTTAATATTCAGATCAAGTTCTAATTTTACACAGATGTAGGTGACTCAATGTCCAATGTTATTTTGCCAGTGATAAACTCAGCAGAGTTTAAAGAAGTCCAGAGACTACAACTCGTTTTTTTTTATTTCAATCGACTCAACAATATCCTTCGCTTTATCATAAATAAAAATTAAACACTTAAAAAATTTCAATGGATTGGTGGTGGTCGGTTCAGTTGTGTGGCACCTAAACAAATAGCCGAATAACAAAGTTTTTATTATAACTATTGCGAAACCTTGTCTTCCATAAGCCTCGCCATAAAAAAAATTCAAAACAACCCCCTCTTCTCCACCCAATTTAATGAAATTAAATTTGGATCCCCCCCCCATTGTACAAAATCTATCTCAAAAAAAATTCTCAAATTTTAACTATTCATCCGTCAAAGACGGGTAACATCAGCTAGTTATGGATAAAATAATTATAACTTGAAAAAGTACATACAGAAAACAATATAAATTTATAAATAGTGCTTATAGATATAATTTCATACTTTGTTTTTATCTAACAATTACAACAATTTGGCGAACAGTTGAAAACATTATAAACCGCTTATAGAGTAATAAGAATTAATCAAGACTTTTTTCTTCCTTAGTTCTAATTTAAATAAACAACTAGTGAAAATAAAAAAAATGTGGCCGATCTGTTCCAAAATGGTGTACAAACATGGCGGAGTAACGCATTTGATTAGCTGGATAGTCAGAAAATCATAAGATATGAAAGATATTAAATTATAATAGTCCGTGGTACAGAACTCGTTTTATCTAATTATTAACACCCGGCTGAAACTCCGTAAATAGCTTCATCTCATCGTAAAATACAAATATTTTATTTACGAACTCTTTGAATTTCGGCGTTTTCCATCTGGAGATTGGCAAACTTTGTCTATTTAAATAATTACAACTTTATGTGACACCCATAACTTTTTGGTTTCAGTTTTTCAAGGTAGGAATTAAGAAAAACTTCTAATCCCTTTTTATTTTATATCTTTAAGTTTAATTTCTTTACGAACATCTGGTTTATATTTCGTGTAGCTCACAGAAGCCTATATTCCTGTTGTTTTGTGTGGATCAGTGAAGCCGTCCTGAAGTTATTACAAGTTTTGTGGTTGTTGGCGCAATTTCCAAAGGCCTAGGCAACAATTTTGTGCAGAAAATTTTAATAATTAGATTACTATAAAAATTTGTATTTAAAGGTTTTTTGAGTTGCGAAAAACTATTTATAATAAAAAAATATTTATTCATGTGACAGACAGCTACAAGTATGGGTACAATTTGAACCAACCGGCGTAGCAATGTGAGAGTAAATATAGTAAAAAACAAAACTCATGAAATATAGTAACCTAAAACCTGGAAAAAGCAAAGGAAAAATAAATTTTGTCTGAAATTATATAAAATATCTTTTTCTTAGCTCCTAGGGCCCATTGAAAAGAACGGTGGGGACACGTATCTAATATTTTTCGATGTAGAATCACCAAAAAAACAAAACAAAATTAGTCGAAATCAGTGATCCACAGACTGTATCCTCTCATCGTGAGTACTGAAGAAAAATCTTATAAAATAATATTTTTTTTTTTCAATTGCCATTACAGACCTTGCAGATCATTGGCCGCCTTAAAAAGTTTACTCCATCTCTATCTTGGACTATTTCTTCTTAGTTATCTGCATGCAGTTCTTTACATCTTTGTTGATTCAATCTTCCCATCTACTTTTTGGCCTTCCATGTGGTGTTTTGTCTACTATTGAATGTAGGATGCAGATGGATTGCTCCGAGCTACATTCCCTGCTCATCTTAACACTTTTTTTATACCTAGTTCTGTTATAAATATTGTTACATGGAAATATACACATATTTCAACAGAAAAAATATTTTTTTTTTCGAATTCTTTATCAGAAAATAAAATGTATATCAACAGAGAGTAAAACTTATAATTATTAATCTTAACCCTTTTTTAAGTAATGGCACAAATTACATATAAATTAATAAAAAAAAACATTTATAATTTTTTTTTTATTCATTTTTCTAAAAGAATTATTTAGTCATTTTTAAAAATTGATGATTTTATTAGCCCATTTCATTTCTCAAATCTCTTGGAAACGTTCCTTCATCGATTTGTTGTTCCCAATTTTTTATCCAAAAATTTGGACAAAGGCACAGATAACATTTTTTAAATAATTGACAATGGTGGCTCTCCTTACCTAATAAATAAGCGCACCTGAAAACAAATTAATTTAAAAAATAATCAATTAGAAAATAAAATATATATTTTAAATTTTAAAAAATTATTATTTATTTTACTATTTTCCCTGGAGGCATTGGTTATCTGCCAAATCGGACAAGTTTTTATTGAACTTTTTAGTTGTTAATGATTAAAATCGTTTATAATTTATATTTAACCATTTTTGGTATATTATTTTCAATAATGAATTATTGTTATCGTCCAAAAAATTCAAAAACCTAATTCCCACTCCAAATTTGAGGTTTTATAGCGCGCCGTCCTCCGAGATTACTGGAGCAATTTTTTTCAAACGTGGAATCAAAGTCAGAGGTCACCCGAGGGTGATCCTTTTATCTCGACACTACTACCCGCCCTTTTCTTTCAAAATGGCGACCGAAAAATCTGTATTGGTATAGAGTGTAGTGCATATACAAATGCACCTATTTCAACGAAACTTGGCTAAAGCTTTCTCCTTAACGTCCTTTAAATTTATCTATATAACATACTTCAACGAAAAGTACTTTCCTATCAAGATGGCGACCGAAAAATATGTTGCGTATATCCTGTAGCGTCTAAACGAATATACCGATTTCGATGAAACTTGACTAAAGTCTTTTCCTTCGAAGCACTTTAAATTTATCTATATACCATACTTCACTGAAAAGAAGCTGCAAAAAAAATTTACGAGGGTTGCTTAAATTATATTTACAAATAAGCCAAAAAGTATACACATTTTGTCGATATTGTATGATTATTTAAAAGTTTACGGAACTTCCAAAAAATATTATTGAAATCCGACAATTAGGAGCAAAGATATGGTCTCTAGATGTTTTTTATATGTTATAATGCAAAGGTTATAACGTTTGTTCTGATTTTTTAATGTGTTTGTAGTTATTGCATTGGTCTTTAAAAAAAAAATATATATATACATATCGTTTAAATCGAACAATTTGGTGGAAGTATGGTGTCTTAATCATTTTCCGTTCCTTAGGAAATTAATATTGGTGAATGAAAAACATTATTTAAGCTAATACTAGGAATCATATTTTATTTATTTCCTTCTACGTAACAAGGAAAGAAATGTTACTTCTGATGTATAATTGTTTGAAAATAATAAACCATTGCTGTTATTTTTTAATTACTAGTTTTAATATGAAACGGTTAATTATTTGAAATAAACAAAGTCACATATACTTCAAGCCCTGTCTGAATATTTAAATGAAGATAATTCCTGCCTGATACTAAAAAAAAGTTAATTTTACATTGATTTAACAAATTTTATCAAATTCTTTTGAGCCATTTTCGAAAAAATTATAAAATACACAACTTTTTACTTTAAATACCAAAACGGTTTAAAGAAAAAAAATTAGATTTTTCAAAAACCGCATTGAAACAATTTGGATCAACTGACATAGCAATGTGTGGGTAAATAATATTTTAGGGAGAAACAAAGTTGATAATCATTTTTTGCAACTCAACATAACATTTTTTTTTTATTATTGAAATTTGCAACCGTATTAAATGATAAATACAACAAGTAAATATGAAACATGACATGTACAACATGAAGAGAAACTGCTCATTGATAGCACTCCAATTATATTTCTATATTAGAAAGTCCCGAGGCCATCTTCTTTTCAGACGCCTCGGAAGGTTGTCAGGAATAGAAGAGAAGCAAGGAAAAAACCTTAAATAAGAATTTTTATAGGATTTGAAAAAAATTTAGCACGACATTTTAGTCTATGCTTCGGACCCTTCGAAATTCTCTCGATAACCACAAAAAATATAATAACTTCAGAAAGACTCCATTGATTCACACGAAAATTATTAGAGACTTAAAGCTCTACATGCTGAACGAAATGTAATTATAATTTTTAACTATAATGGTTTTTCAATTTTCCTTCTTGTGATTTTTAATATTTAAATTGTACTTTCTAACTTTTCTTCTTTTAATATTAACTAGTAGGCCCATGCGAAAAATTCGCACAGCATATTGTTATCATATACCAAATTAATAAGAAACATATCAAGAAAGAACATATCAAAAGATAAAGAAATACAATGTTACTTTATCGATAAATATAGTCGACAAAGAAAACAAAAATTAATTTAAATCTTCATTTCTGTTTGGAACCAACATGTTTACAAATTTCAGTAAGCTGTATCCTTACTAAAAAGTGTGCAATTTCGATGATTAAAAGTAATCTTTCATATAATCATGGGCACAACCAAGAGAAAGTTTTTAGTTATTCAACTAAATAAAGTTTGTTTTGTATCATAACTTGTTTGCCTGAATTTTCGGGATGATTGGACTATTTTGTCCGCCTAAAGGAGAAGGAATACTTTGAAATTGGTGGCTCAATCTTGAGATTTGGTGAAAAGTTACGATGATATGGCTTGCCGATCAACAACATCATCTATAAATAATACAAACTCCTCCTCACTCGATCATAGAGGTCTCAAGTCGACGAAATGAGACATGTATTCAATGACAGTACTACAATTAATGGAAGGTTGTGTGGATGCGAACCCCATGCCTTGCGTTATCTCGAAAATAGTACGTTTTGGGCTTAAAACGCAGGATCCGATTGTTCCGGAGGATCTTGCTGTACGCATCAAAATCTTCAAGATCCAATTTGTCCTTTATCGATCTATAGACCTACCACCGTTCCAGTATCGAAGCCTAGCAAAATGTTTGTATCGAGTTTATTTATTTTATAAAGAAAAACAAAAGTGGAGATTACGATTCGCTAACCCACCGTGAAATTCTGAATCCAGTACCCCATTCATGGTATTTGAGCATGACAGGAGCTTATATTTGGTACAAAACCGATTTCGAGCCTTACTGTAATAATATATGTGTGAATTTTATTTTTTAAACTGTATTTTTAGATTATATTCCTGAAATCATTAACCTCTTATTTAAATGTCCTTGTTAACTATTAACTTATCTTTTTCTAATCTTTAATGTTTAATTTTAATGGTTCTTGTACTTTTTAATGTTTACACTGTATTCTTTAACTTCGCCTCTATTAATATTAATTTTTATTATTTAAAAATGTATTTTTTAGCTTTTATTCTTAATATCGTTAATCATTATTTTTATTGTCTCTGTTATCACATCTTCTATTAAATCTTTAACTTTCAATTTTTATAATTTTAGTTCAATTGTACCATCATAATCATCTGTAATTATTCTAAACTTTTCAAACTTTAAAGTGTATTTCTTAGCTATAGTTTAGTTATGTGTGTAGTAATTGATGAGATTGTAATGTAGGGCGAAAATTACCCAGGTGGTTGAAGATCCCAAAACATGTATAAAAATAAATATATAAAGTTGGTCGTGATCTATATATCAGTAGTATATATATATATACCTATGGAAGTCGATGAACATTCGGTAACACCACTTCGTCTTATTCTGCTGCTGGAAGCGCGGATCAGGTGGGCATGTGGATAAAGTTATTTTTTTGAGTTTGTCAACTCCCGGAGATTTCTTCCCTTCCGGTGTTCTCCCCCCTTCCGATGATGTCTCCACTTCCGTGCATATCATTTCTCTGCCATCAGCTGTTATTGTTTTAGTAACTTTAGGTGTACCTGGTTCATGTAAATCTCGTGAATGAGGATCTGGTACATAGGCAACTGGTGTAGGGGAATCTGGTGCGGGGATATCAGGTATAGGGGTATCCGTAGTTGTATTTTCTGAAGTCATTTCTTATTGTTTTCGAAAACCCACAAAACTTTAAATTTTTCTCTATTGCAATGATGAACAATGTCCAAGGAGGCGTGATTAGAAGAGAAAAAAATTACAAATTAGAATTCATAATATGACAGTCGTCTCCGGTAAACATATGATAATTTCGTTATTAAAACATATGATTTTATTAATAACAAAATCTCCCACCAGACCGCGTGTTCACAAATTGAAAAATTAACCTCAAAATACAAAAAACATTTTTTGGCATGTACGAACTGTTCATATAATCAAACGAGACTTTTGTTGTAAAACTCTTCATTTCGATCTCTTTAGTTTTTAAGGGACTTTTAATAAATTTAACTTGTTGGCATTTGCGAATAATTTGCATAATACATTGGTCAGAGAACAATTGATAATCTATATATATAAAAATGAATATATGTCTGTCTGTCCGTCTGTTTATCCTTAGTGCATTACTAAACCATTCAACCGATCGCCATGAAACTTTGGGAAGTTGTTCCGTACACTCCTGAGAAGAGTTCTGGCATAGTACTTCTGTTTTACGATAATTTTATTTCTGTTCAAAGCCGAAAAAAAAAATGTATCGCTATAAACTGTAGCGCCAAAACGGCTTTGCCGATTTTAACGAAACTTGGCTAAAGTCTTCCCCTTGAAACCCTTTTAATTTATGTGTATAGCATACTTTCCCGAAAACAAGCTGAAAATGTTATGATGAATTCAATATTTTATTTGACGATAACTAAAAAAGTACACAATTTTTGATAATACTCACATTTTTTTCAAAGATTCCTGATTTGTCGACAAAATAAAAAAAAATCATCGAAATTGGATGGTTCGTTTCAGAGTTATTGAGTTTTAAACATTTACTGCTTTCTCTTCAGAAAAGACCGTTTCCTTTTGCTTCATCACTACCGAACGTCGGCAAGCATTTTTTTTTATTGATAAATTGAAAAATTTATAATTACTACAGTAATTGAAATTATCATTTGAAGAAGTTATATGATTCTCCTTATGTAGGTCAATACTATTAAACGTTTTTTTATTAATTTTTTTATTTAGTTTTATAAGTTCAACTCAGACTATTTCTGATGATTATGAATGACGGCGTATTCACTCATATGATTATGAATGTTCAATTTGAATCATGAGAAAAAAACCCATTAGAATTAGTTTAAATTGAAGCCATTTTACAGACAAATTTGTTTCCCAACTTTTTAAAAGTGACAGATGTCCTTTGCTACTAATCTACTCATATGAGCTTTCTATTTTCATTTTGCCAGGCTAAGCCACAGCAGCGCGTGGCCGGGTAAAGCTAGTATAATATAAAAATAACCTTATTTAGTGTATTATGTGATAGAAGAAATCATTTTATTTATCTCAGTTTAATCAATGAAGTTCATTCATACTAATAAACCAAAACACGAATAGATTACTATAGGCTGCACCTTGGTTAATAATTGGCCGTTAATCCGATTTTTAAATTTTTTTTTGTATGGAATTTAGTATACTTTCAAATAATCATGGTTCTAATCGAGAAAAAAAAATTATAGTTTTTAACATATTCGAAAACAATGTTTTCATTCATAACTTTTTCTTGAAATTTCGGGAATGTTTGTCACTGCTAAATTTAATAACGTTTCGTTTTATAACTCACTGATCAAAATCCATCACTAATACATAATACACGGATAAATAAATAGTTCAATTTATATTACATTAAAAATAATAATTTATTGTAATCAATAAATAGTAAAGTGTTTCTAGTTTATAAATTGTTCAGTTTAAAGTGTTCTTGGTATAGTGTTATTTTTTTTGTTCTTATGTTATGTTATGTTTCTTGGTGTGTATATGTATGGTGGCTCCTGGTGTAGAAAATCTTCACTTTATAGTGGAAATATTCACATGGTGTAGTGCATAAACATGTTTAAATAGACATTTTGAGAAGAAACTTGAAAGCAATTGTGAAAAATTGGGACCAAAAAACAAATTTTGTTTTTATCAGAACGATGAGCCCAAATACTCTGCCATGTTAGTTAAGGAATGGCTACTTTATAACTTCTACAAAGTTTAAAAAAATACCACCACAGTCACCAGAGCTTGTTGTGAAAGAACACCTGCGGGCAAAATTGGAAATAGAAATTAAAAAAACCACGATATTTCTAAAAAATAAGACGTTAAATGAACGGAATCACATACAAATTTGTCGATTCCATTACAGACTGAAAAATGTGTTAGAAAATAATGGCTTGCCTACAAGATATTGAACTAAGTTAATAGTATTTAAAGGTTATTAAGAAGTGAGGAATATCATATTGACTGTGGGGTAAAATTATCTAATTTTTTTTTTAATCGTAGTTGAATATTTTAATTATATTGAGTTTGTGCATATTTAAAATTATATAAATAAATCTGTTGAAGACTTTCTGGTATTATTTATTTACAGTAACCATTGAGAAGTATTTTTTCTATTTTTCTACAGGGTGTATCAATTTCACTGTGAGTCACTTTATAAAGATTCTATTCTATCTTTTAAAAATCGCTATTAGAAGAAAAGTTTTTTTTTTCTGTTTTTTTTAACTCGATTCTTCTGCAACAATTGGCGCATTAAGATCAATGAATCCAAATGCAAGCAAGTCACCTTTACACTCCGACGCAGATCCTGTCCACATATCCTTTTCAACTCAGTACCTCTTCCCATCTCAGAAACAGTTCGGTATCTTGAATTCCTTTTAGACAAAAGACTAACATGGAACCCACATACCAGACTTAAAAGACAAGAGCTTAACCGACGACTTGGCCAGTTATACAGACTACTTAACAGAAAATCTAACCTCCCAATTGGAAACAAACTATTAATATACAAGACCATACTGAAACCCATCTTAACGTACAGACTTGAACTGTGGGGGACAATTAAATTTTCGAACATCAAACGCATCCAATCCTTCCAGTCTAAAGTCCTCCGTATAATAGCCAATTCTCCTTTTTATGTTACGAACAAAACCTTACATCATGACCTTAACATCCCTTATGTCCTTGACGTTATTCCATCCCGATTTTCAAATTTTCATCAGAACCTAATCCATCATCCTAATCCCTTAGCACAATCCTTATCCAGTTCCAGTCATCCCTACAATCCTCCTCGAAGGTTGAAGCGGCAGTTGCCTCAAGATCTTTTGAAAAGACGTCATTGGAGTCCTGGCGATGGCCAGCTTCTCCACTCAAATCATGCGCGTATGTGGCTTTAGTGCCCTTTCTTAGTCTCCACTGGATTCCCATCCTAGTGATGCGGCTGAAAGAGAAGCGCTGGGATCTCTTGGAGTCTTGCCTTGTCCTCCACACGTGGGGGAAAAGGCCCGACTCGGAGCTCCCTCGGCTGACTGTAAATATTGTAAATAAGCATAATGTGTTTTTATTGTTGTATCATGATCGATTTATTCTGTTACTCCAAGTTTGATTTTATTTTATTATGTTATAATCTTGTTTTTCTTTTATTGTATATATGGTATGTTTGTATTTCATTCATCCTAAATACTCAATGCCCTTAATTGAGGCAAAATGTATTTTTTCTAAATAAAATATTATATAGTTTCTTCCTAAAAACTCAATTCTTCAACTCACACCTGTCAGAAGTTCGACAGGTCCGACAATCAGCGAGTGTGATGTCGAGATGTAGAAGGTTGGCCTTTTTCACCTTTTAATTGTGATGAATTCCAATTAATCCTATCAACAGTATCCTTTGATAATACCACATTTATCCCCTCTGAACAAATTCGATACCTAGGACTCCATCTGGACAAACGTTTCACTTGAAATCCTCATACAAGAAACTGCTCGACGTTTCCACTTACTCCAACACTTACTAGACTAACGCTCTAAACTTCCAATTAATTACAACAGACTCATATACATGACTATAATAACACCTATTTGGACTTACGGAATTGAGATATGGGGCTCCACGAAGCCATCAAATTCCTCTCGTATCCAATCCTTACAATCCAAAATCCTCAATGCTCCTTACTTTGTCACAAATAAAATAATCTACAAAGACATTGTATTATTATGTTCCTTCATAATAATACAACCGATCCTATCATAATAAACTTCAGAACTACACGAACCATCTCGTTTCAAACCTTGCTTCCTCTTCGATTCCTGATAACTCTCCGAAGCGTCTGAAAAGAAGATTGCCTCGTGATCTCCTTATTTAGATATATTATTAGAGTGCTTCCAGTGGGTATTTACTTGATGTAAATATATTGTAAATATTATAAATAAATAATAATCTTTTTTTTCTATCTTTTAAAAATAGCTATTAAAAGAAAAATTTATTTTATATTTCGGCTATACTTTGCTTTTGTATGACTAGCTATCATCAAGCTTCGTAAAAATGCTAAGTGGTGGGAATCGAACCCACTCCGTTATTTTCGTGAAGCTAATTCTTAGCAGCTCGGCAGTTTATAAATACCGAAAGAAGAGACCACTTGATGTGCTAGCTGTAAGAGGCATATGACGCTAACAACACACACATGGCCTACTGTACTTGAACGTTATCATTAAGCATTTAATATCTCAATATTGTATTTAATTTGAAAACTTTTTAAAATCTATTTTATTAAAATAACGGCGGGTCAACCCCCATTTTACAAATTATACAACTGTTCATTTAATGGCACTACTCGTAGCTCAAATTGTACAAGTGTAACTGAACGAAACCATAGTTCGAACCAGAGTTGGGCGTTAGCGCCGCTAATTTTTAACTAGCTAACGTACCGCTAAAAAGCTAAAATTAGCGGCGCTAAATATTAAGCTAATTTAGCTTCCAGCTGTTTTAGCGCAGATAACTTTAGCGCTAAATTAGCTATTAGCGGAAACGTACCGCTAACTTTTAGCTTAAGCTAAATTATCTATTAACTTAACTAAAAGCTAACTTAGCGCTAACACTAGAAGAAATTTTATTTATTTCATTTTATTAATTGATATTAGGATCAACTGTTATGTAATCAGGGGCTTTTTTTATGATAATTGCCCCGGGCACCGACTTTTTGTAACTTTTCTGATTTAATCGACGTATGGGTCGACTATTAGATATTAGGGGGCGTTTATTATAAAAATATTGTCGGATTTTAGATACGCCCCCCCCCCCCCGGGCACCGACGTTTTGTAACT